GCTCAAATATAATGAACAATGCTGCAAAAAAATTTAATATTTTAGCTACCAGCTTGAGTATCCTCAACAATTCTATATATGATTATGAAGATTGCTTTCCTTTTAGAAAACACAAATTAACACACGTAGAAAACTCGAACACACTCAATCATTATATACTTATATAGTCAAACGAAATGCTGGAAGTTGTTTTGGTGGAATGCAATTTTTTAAATAATTTCCTCAATCAGACAAAAACATATTCCGACTTATCTCCTGAGAAGAGTCAGAGGCTGTCGATCGAGTATGAATAATGAAAAGGAATGTGTGTCGATTTGTAAAATGTATCGGCTGTGTGTATCTTAAAATAAAAGGAAAGCAGCCATATATTATATATAGATTGACTACCAATGTTAATTTCATTAATGATAATGATGTTGCACTTCTCATTATCCATAATAGTATGTAAATTATGAATCAAAAATACACATCTAAAAGTATTTAAAGATAAAACATCAAAAATATATATCCATGCATCATTTTACTAAAGATGATTTGAATTCATAGGTCTAATTGCCAAATTAAAATTTAAAATCAAATGCAGTTTCATTATTATTTCTAATTTTAAAGTAACACAGGTGGCGACATTCTTATTTCAATTCAAAACATTGTATATACGAGAAAAATCGATGGGTGCTAGTAGTTTACATGTATATGATCGTAGGTTCTTATATAATAATTTTGATGTCTAATAAATTATTTTTAGATCTATATCTAGCTAAATTTTTAGATACTTTAATAAAATCGTTCTTTCCGTAGACGATTCTCAAATTGTTAGCGGAAAATAATCTTTCTTTTTCTACATGTTCCGCTTTTTGACACTGATGGAAAGGCGACGTGTGTCACACAAAATTTTGCTTCGGACCAAAAATTCACACTAATGTTTTGTTCGCATACAACGCAAGCAAAGCTTTGTTACAAGAGCAATTATAGCGATCTTATGAATCATATGTAAATTAGGCAGTGTGCTAACGGGAGGGGGNGGGGAGTGTGTGTGTGTGT